CTCTGTTGCTTGTGAAGCTCGCACACAAGAATTTCACTCACATGTGCTGTACCAATGTACCTGCACATGTGATGTGACAATAAAAGTGATTTGATTTGATTTGTAGGCAGGGACACATTTTGGTTTGCTTTAACTTTTTCCCTGAGAAAAGAAACCGAATCACAGGAAAAAGCTACAAATTTACAAATTTGCCAACTGATTTGGACCACATTAAACTATAGTGTGAAGAACCCTTTAGCGTGTTAGTCTGAGACACACATGCACCATTTCGAACCCGTTTCCTGGTTGACTAAATATGTACAACAACCAATTATTAATAATCATGAAAAAAAAATATCAAAGTATCCCTGTGTTTCTTTCAAGTTCTCGTGGCAGGATATAAATGAAAACAGTCCATACTGCACCTTTAATTGGCAGTTATTTTGAAATTCGATCACTTTCAATCTCTGAAAATTTGATTTTGTGTTTGATTTGTTCAGATACTTGTGTCAGATTTTCCCTCATTAGCCTCTTAAATTCTTTCCACTTTCAAGGACCTGTGGTTTGTAATTTGCCATGTTTTAAAGGCGACAACGACAACAAGGCTACAGGGTGGCCATGTCTGTTGCATCTCTAATTTATAACATTTTCAATTTCATTCAAGTGAAATGAAATTAGTGAGAATTAGTGAGGATACAGCCAAGTGGAAAATGAATCTGCCTGTGAGCCACACTTCAGTTGCCATGGAGAAAGTTTTCACATTATCCAAAAGCATTGTGGGCTGTAAGATATTTATAGGCTACAATCAATCTCACAGCCTTGAATTTTATCCATTTATTTTTTAAATCTGGCATTTCTTTAAAAGTCAGCTTCATAGTTTAAGGAGGTTTAAAGATCAGAAACTTAGGTACTAAATAATGAATAACCTGGAAGTTTGAGAATATGATATACTACAATATAAAATAAAGACTTTTTTGCCATATAACCAGTGTCATATAAAAAAAGACACATGAAGAGTTTCATCATTACAGGTTTCTCTGAGAACAAAGGAGGCACATTTCTTTCAAACCCAGCGGTGGGATTGTTACAAAAAAGTTAAACTTTCCTTTGATCAGTTACAGAGAGCTGCACTGAGTTTTGTGGAGGTGATAGCTTTCGATGATAACTAAAACACTTTGCAGGTTCAGATAGGATCAAAGGATTACAGATCATGTAGCTGCTGATGTCTAGAAGAAGACAGATCAGTTCTGGGCAGTTTAACAGAGAGGAGGCAGCGTTAGCCTTGCACTAAGTAGCCCACTATTCACAAGAGGGCTATAAAGGAGGGCTTTCCATGTCAGAGTCTTCCCCAAAAAGATTAAAATTATTACTGCACTTCTTATTGCCTGAAGACACGACTCACCCAACGGGAAACAGTACAAAATAATAAAATAAAGCTCTTTATCCTTTAAAGACATTTTCATTTAGCTACTGCCCAGACAAGCCCCCTGTGGCTGCGCTGTGAAAGCTGACTGCCCAAGACATAACGCTCGCCACGTCTGATAAACCCACTGCTATGGAGAGTATGTAAAGCTTTGGAAAGCAATTAAGGCGGCAGCTCAGAATACACGAGAGGGGGGTGTCTCTTTTCTCGTCATTGTCCCTGCTCTGACAAACGCTGACAGGTACTGTGATGTGGATGGCTGAGCTTGAATTTATGAAATATTCATTTTAACACAGAGTGAAGGTGGGGGTGGCCTATGTATAATTTATAACATCTGTATTTATGTTGAGATGTCATGTGCGTTTTTTTTGGAATCTTCATGCTTTCATTTCTCAAAGTGGTAATAATTAGATTGCTTTCAATGTGGCAGGCTTCAGTGTTGTCAATGCAGGACTGCACAGACATGGATGCAGAGCAATCACTGGTATTGCGCTCAGTAGCACAACACAAGCAGGAAGATGAGGCGAGTGTGAGCACGTGAATACGGGCTGAAGGGTAGAGGATTAAATGAAGCAGTAGAGGACTTCTTGCCCCTCCCCCTGCACCAGTCCATTCCTCTAGCTACACCAGGTTTATTGTACATTATGGTAATTTAAAGGAATAAAGCAACAGCACAGACACAGAAAATACAATGATCTCCCGATTCCGACCAGCAGCATCGGCACTATGAGCGGCCACTCAACCTGTGTTTAGGAGACTGTGCAGATTCACAGATTGTAGGGGGATTTTTTTGTTGTTTGATGGAGCAAACTGAGTGGTTTTATAATAAATCCACAGCGCAAACGGAGAAACAAGAAGTGTGTCTGAGCCGCAGTCATACAATGACAGCCCTGGCACTGTGGTCTCGACTGGCATAAGGCAGTCTGGTGTGCCAGGTGCTGATAAGGGGATTGCTTGGCACAGCAGATCATACTCCGTCTGGGATGTTTGTTTGAGTAACAGCGTGGTACATACAGGAGTCAATTCTGCTGTCACACCACTATTTGATTTTGTGTGTCACTGCATGCATATCGCATGAGTGAATGGGCATGCGACTGTGTGTTAAGCGCAAACTGCACGCCTAGCTTTAATGCTGACAGAGGGCAAGATTAAATACCCCTCTTCCACCTCAGCAATGCTGTGATGTTTGCTTAGGTGGGGAAGCTTCAAATCCTCTGGGCTTTCCCTTCATTATCAAAGCCTGCTTATCCTGTGAGATACAAGATAAGATTCTCCTGAGGGAGCGGTTGAGCCAACACCCGTCCTGCGAGCTTGTGGGAAAAGCCTGCAAAGGGTCAAACGGATCGATAAGGTCAGCCAATCAATCCTGTACAAAAGTTAATATGGCTTGGATAACCCTTTCATGTCTGAGAGGTTGGAGAGAATATTTGAGAAAGGTAGGGATGAAAGCAACATGGTGCAAAGGAATCTGCCCACGCGAAGGTAATGTAATGACAGGCTGGGAAAAAGCGCATGAGTGCCAATCACATGACTCCAAATGTAGGCTATAGTCTGTAAGATGTGTGTAGAGTGTGTACACACTGCACGCCCACAAACTGCTGACAGACTGACAGTATTGCCGTTTGGCTGTCAATCAAAAGAAGCATTTTGAAGCATCCGGGCGATTTGCATTTCGTGTCCTCAATTTGATACGCAGAAAGAGCCACAGTCCACATTCTCAGACTCATGTCTTTATCTATCAAAGTAAATGAAAAAAATAACAAGTTGTACTCTGCACGCTAAGCCGACACGTGTCAGCGAATGCGACGTAATCACAACAAGACACTGACATTCTCGCCTGAAGGAGGTGTCATCAAACCGCTGACGCATGAATGCAGAGAAACACACACCAGCAATCAATATTCATAACAGATCATTTGCAGCATATATAGCTGGAAGCAAAAGCAATAAATACTGATTTCATGTGTTTCTTTTGTCCCATCAACAGTCTAAAATCTGAAGTTATTTAACTGTAATTGTACAAACCAGAGAAAAGGCGTCGCATTTGAGAAGCTGGAACATGCATTTGGCGTTAGCTTGACAAATGACAAATTATTGTTGTTAATCAACAATATATTAGTCAACTAATTGATACAGCAGCAGGAGGCAAAGCTTGCAGGCGAGCCAAAACAGGAAGCGCAGAAAAGAAATGAAAATAAAAATAAATAAATAAACAATTGGTTCAGTTTTTTTCATTTCAGTTCCCTTTTCATTTCAATTAACACACATGTAAAACTGTGAAATGTTTAAATGTGTGACACGGAAGAAGGTAAACATACAAAAGAATCCAAATCACTTGATCAAGAAATATTGAACAGTTAACTCCTTCTCGCTATGTGTTTACGTCTCCCAGTATCAGATGCTTGATCCACAGACTGTATAAAAAATGAACACAACCTTTTAGCATTTGAAAAGTCAAGTGAAATCAATGCACAGTGCTTTAAATGTGCATTCTTTTTCATGACCAGCAGTGAGTCACATGAGTCCATATGAGGTTATAGTCTCAACTGACTATACGATAAAGATGGGTAGCTTTGGGGCGTGACTACCCGCTCCTTTGATGCCTGGTTTATAAAAACCAAGATGGCGATGGCTAAAGCGCTGACCATGAGCCCTCAATATGGCTACTTGCATCGTTCATGTACAGTCTGAATTATTCCCAATATGTAAGGAAAGTCTAAGCTTAGTCCAAGCCAATCTTAACATCTAGCTGAACAATCTAGGTACAACTAATTCACTTCATATTTACAGTCCACTGACACCTGCAGAGACCTCACAGTTAAAGCAGGTGTGATTAACTTCAAAGCCTGCAAAGCAAAAACATCAAAGACATGGCTCAATTACATGAGGACACATCTGCATTATGGTGGTGCTTTTAATTTAACACAAAGAACATCTCTGTTATTGCCCCAAAACCCAGACTCACCTTTAATTCTAAATTAGAGATCTACTTATCTTATCTGGTAACTGTGCGAGAGTTGCGTGGGTGAAAACTCAGACAAAAAAGAGAAGCGGCAGAAAGATATTCACCCTAAGAGATAGAGAATAATGCTAATAGTACAAGATTATATCAGGTCCAAAAATACCTCGGCGCTTGTATAACTTGGAGTACAGGCTGAGCTTTTCTAGTCTCACAGGTTATTCATATGCAGAACAAAAGCTGGTGAATATCAATGAGAGCACGACTTGGGTCTGGAAACAAGAAGAACCTCATGATCTTGTTTCAAGGGCCGTAATCAGATAATAGCTGTTGATGACTGGAAATCGGAGGTATTTACAATAACAGATGTTTGCAATTAGGAACCCTTTTGCTGTCAATGAATACCATAAAAGGATATTTTTTGCATGAATTCAGGACAGGTTTTAGAGGATGTAAAAGGACGACAAAAAGAGAAGGAAAATATAAAATCAGTGACAACAGGGGGGCTTTTCATTAGTTTGGCAGCACTAAATCACCAATAAATTTCCCATGATATCAGTGTAATACTGACACAACTGATTTACATTTCAAGCTGACATATCTGATTCATAATCTACTGAGATTCAGTCAGACTCTTACTTTCTGGAGGAAGAGGACGATTCTCTGAACCATTTCAGCTCGCTGCTCCTCCAGGCTGAAGAGCGTCCGCGGCGTGCGGATGAAGACCTTTGTTTTGCCGTAGGCCACGTCGTGGTCGAACCCACAGCCCTGCAAGAGCCTCTTGACTGCATCTTTGTCTGATGGCAAGTCGTGGTTTGGCCAGGTAAACTCGGAGATCATCTTATATCTGGAGGAAGGACAAAGTGTTTGCATGAAGAAATGTTAAATAGGATCTGGATAATTATATATATATAGCAACTAATGAATCTCCCATCAGCCCCAGCTGTACATTGCATTTGTTTACGATGCCAATACGTCAAATCAAGATGCTACTTTATACCTGCTAAACATCAACATATTAGCAATGCTATAGTTAAATTCAGAGAACATTTTGTGGATATATTTTCAGCATCAGATTACATGGATATAACAAGTCCTGGGTTCAAAAACAAACCGTTAAACTCCTTCTAATCTTCTCTATACTTCTTCATCGACACTCTCAAAGCAAACATCGCATCATCATCTTCTGTTACTTCCTATTTAATTGCAGACTTTAGGGGTGGTTGCCAGGGTTCAGGATGCCATCACTGCTGCCAGATCAAATCAACAGTTTTCAAAACTTTGCCACGTAACAGCTGCGATCTGAGTCATTTCACAGCTGATCCACTGGTAAGGCTGTGATATAATGCCATCACCGAGGAGGACTGGAGTAATGGAGTTGGATGCCTTGTTAGCATGTTATGCAAAAGTCTCATTATTTAATCCTCAATCCAGCAGGATTTCTAGGAGGGCAGTGGGTGAATGTGACAGCTGGGGAATAAGGGTGAGGCACAAGTATGTGTACTATTTTGGAGTGTTAGTTAATACACTGTACACTGTGTAAGTATGGGATTGATCGCATTATGTTCCATTAGAACAAAACAATCTTACAATTATTATATCTTCTATCAGCAGTGATCAGTTCCCAATAAGTGATATTTGACTTGTATTTTTAATTTAAAAAATAAAAAAAGAACGTGAAGCTTAAAATGTCAGAGGACGAGTGCTATCGGAGGACTCTAAGAATCCACATCTGTCCTGTAACAGTCTTTAAAGTTTAACCCTGAGCTTTTGTTCTGCTTTGGCCTCATTACAGAAATGTAATGAGGCCAAAGCAGAACATTCTTATGAACGCTGCTGCGTGCAAGACTTTAAACTGTCGAGATTATGGATCTCTTTGATTGCAGATTTGTATTATTAATTTAGCATCCAGTGAAATGTTAATATGCCCATTGTTAATATGTTGATAAGTTCTAAGACCCCAAGTAATTTCTCTGGATATCTCTTTTGTGTTGAAACACAAACAGATTAAAAGAACAGCACACATGAAAAGCCAGAATCAGCTGGTTTTGCAGCCTGTTGTCAAAAACATGCTACATTTCAGCTCTAGATATAAAACAGGCAAATTTAGCAGATGTTTTGGTCAACGGGTGAAAGAAATGCACTATACATCACTACTTGCAGTACATGCATACGTCATACTGTTGTATACAGCCTATACTACCCGCCTGTCACAGGATAGTTAACAGCAGCGCAGAGTCAACAGAACAAACAAGAACTAAACAAGCTCTTGTGAGTTACCCAAGTCCCACTGGGGGCATCACGATGGACTGCACCAATAAAACAATGCACTGCAGCACCGTGACAAAGAAGGCAGGAAGTCAGACACAGGTAATGCACAGAAAATCCAATTACATTTAAAAATAAAGACCCCTGCCTTGCAGACTAAATGGTGTCCCTCTGAAACTCCCCAGGTGTCTGTGTCATGTTAAAATAACCACAGAGAACAAAATATACTTGAAGGATAAAAAGTAAAGGTATGCAGGATCCTTAATTTACTGTTATTGGATGATTATTATTAGTGGAAGCAGCAAGTCTATGTCAGAATCAGCTAAGGTGATTTTCTATTCTGTCTGGTTTTATTACTATGTGCATATTAGTATTGTACAGCACTTTGGTTTACCAGGTGTGTTTTTAAAGTGCTATATAAATAAATAAATGATGATGATGATGATATTCTGCCTTACATGTAGCAGTAGGTAATCAGTTTCTTAAAGCTCTGTTTGAATCCACTAAAGGTACTGGAATGTACTAAGTCTTTAAATTCAATCTTTTAACTTTTATTATTTATAATAGTTTTGGTAACATTATGTTTTTTTTCTTGCTAATAACTTTTGTTTCATGTTTCATGATCAAAAAAGTGTTTTAATGAACGATTTTCAACTTGGTCAAATATGTTAGATTTCTTGACTAAATTCCTGTATTGATTTAAGCCTCAGAGGCCAGTTATTGCACCTCCAGTTGCGAGCAATTTAGAACTAATTAGAATGTAAACAGGTTTGCAACATGTCGAAGCTTTTGCATATGAATAAACCATGAGTTTTTAACACAGGTCACTGACTAGTACTTGCTGTTTGTTTGTTATTGTGCCACATTAAAACTGGGTAATTCTTCAACAAATTAAGATGCCCCATCAGCATCCCTCTTCAGTAATTATAATCAAATGTGGGTGTTTTAGAATTGCTTTTAATCAAAAGGACAAAACATTACGCTAAATTACTGTTTAGAAAAAGAAGACACTGAAGGGATTATTTTAGAATAGCTGCTAGAGATGCAGCTGATTAGTTGATTGGATGCTGATTAGGTTACACAACACAATATTTACACCCCACAGTCAAGACTTTTTGTGCAATATCCTTGATGCCTGATCGACGCACAGCTTCAGGGGTTCAATAACATTTTAATAATAGTGTTTCAGGTGAGGGAAGCTCAGTCTCTTATTGCACAAACATTTTAAAGCTAATCTGAGAAGCAAATGTTTTTAAAAAATGAATCATGCACCACAAACCTTCAATCTACCATACTTTCATCTAGCATGAAAAATACATCAAACTATGATTTATAATTGTGGTCATTTTTCTCAATGGTCTTGCTTAATTGACTGAACCAAATTAATTTACTGCTCACTGAGGAAAAAAAACTTCAAGGTGCAATTAGATCAGGACCACTTGATCTTTAATTAAATGATTTGGTCTGTTGTTGTTCTAATGCGTTGTTGACATGTGCTGCTGTTAGAAAGCAAGATTTGCTGCATTCACACTCAGCCCCTTGGGGACTAAAAGAATTAGGAATCCAACCAGTTTTAGATTTGTAAAAAAAATAAATATGCGGAGCTACCCACTGTGGCAACCTCTTGTGAATAAATGAGTAATTGAAAGTAGGTTATTTTTCTTCTACTTGGACAATACTCATGCTTCAAAGGCCTAAAATTTATATTCATGTGTGTTTATTTTGAAATATTGTATTAAATTTGTCACATTTGATTGTTTTCTTGTGGATGTTGTGTAAATGTGCAACACACACTTGGAAATACTGTGATGGTTTTGATTCCTTCTTATGCATACAAGTTGTAAACAATCTGGGATGCAGTGTTGGTAAGGTTAAGTGTTTCCCAGCACTGAATATTTGATGTCCCGTGGACATGGTCAGGACGGATGATTGAGGGGTGCTCTCCCTCTCCAACCGCCTGCGATATTGCAAAGAGTCAACCATCTGCATGTAGGAATGTCTGCTCAAACTGACCCCAGCATTTTGGCTATGTGAAAAAATTTCTGTATGTTACAGAAATGGTTCACAGACATGTGTTTATGAGGACATTTAGGGCAAAGAAATAGGCTCCAAATTCATGCAGCTGCTCATTTTACACCAACAACTGTCACTTTAAAGAAGACTGTGGAGTCTTAAAAGTAGCCTCGGCCTCAGCTTTCAAAGGGGGTGAGGAAATGACAGAGTCTGTAAATACGTAACATCATGTTTACTCTGCCATGATAATACCCCAGGACACTCTCACGAAAGAGTCTAAATCTTAAGAGTTTGACTTCTGGGTGAATATTCATATGTGTGGGTGACACAGATTTATATGACTATTTTGTAGCTCATATTCAGGTAAATCTGATCTATTTAATACTTTTACAAGCCATAAATGTCAACATATTGTTAAATTCAACTTCTCACATGCAAGAAATTGCTGCTTTTTTCCACACAGTTTGTATGGGCTAGTGTGATAGATAGAAAACAGTAAAAAATGGCACCTAACATTTTATAGGCAAAAGGATGAATCAAAAACATAAATGAAGGATCAATCGACATAGGTGGTTTCAGCCTTTTAAGTGGAAAGTAAAGCCCTTTAAAGTATCCATATATAATTCACTCAAACATCTTTAATCATAGGGCAGAGGTGCTTTGAAAGACTGTTTTGGCGCACCTTTGTAGGAAGCGAGGGTACGTCTGTCTGTTGGCGAATCCAGCGCGACGCACTCTGACGTTCTCCAGCAGCCCGAGGTATTCCACCTGATGACGGCAGCGCTCATGCTCAAAGAGCAGAGGGGACTTGACATCGTTGGGCTTGATGCAGCGAACGTAGTAGGGTTCCTGTACAGAGCAACACAAGGTGGATTTACACACCAGCCAATGTTTTCTACTGTAGTTCAAACTGCAGTGGTGATATACAGTAACTATATGCTCTTCTGTAACAGACGTGTATTCGCACGGACACCAGGAACAGCAAATAAAGGGGGGCTGGGAAGTTGGTCTCGCACATTAAGGCTTCACCTCATGAATGCTGTTAGATATTATTCATATTTTTCAGGTATTTGGATGTGGGGAATAAAACGAATGCCCGTAACATTCTTTTGCATAACTTTCAGATATACTACTGACAAACAAAGCACAGTTTTGTGCAATGATTTCTTCCAAATTAAACCATATCTGGAAGATAACAGGAAGTAGTTTGGGCAAGTAGTTTTTATTAATATTTAGCATCTCTGATGAAGATGATTCCTTTAATACAATCTTTATTTGCCCCTAAACATGAACATTTTCTTTAAGTCTGGTCATTTACTTCATGTACTTGAGAGTAATATGTAAAGTAAGGTTGAACAGTTTAAAAAATAAAACTTGCAGTATTGCATTTCAGCAAGTGTACACAGGTCGTGTCATTTAACAGGATTTGTAGTCAGAATCTTTCTCTTCACTTTAATTCCTTCTTAGGAACACATATAGGGTTATAATCCACTGGCTCAATATGAATATTATCTGATGCAGCACTTATGAAAGGTTCACCTTGGAGGCGAGGTTCTCCACCAATGAGATCATTGAATTTTTGAAGAGTGTTGCAGCCGTCAGCGGTCGCTTGGTGACCTCTGTGATCCTCAGTTTGCCCTCAGGCCACATGGCCTTTAGTACTGGGTTGGAACTGGACAGAGAAAAAGTAAAGAGAAAAGATCAACATTTACAAGACTACTGAGCAAAATGAGAAGCAGCAGAATTTAATATTCGTCCATGTTAAATGTGACATATGTGTAACATTTCAACAAGATTTTCTAATCAAATCCAAACATGACATTTAATGAGACCTATTATGGTCAAGACTGCACACTGCATCACTGGATGCTTGTGCATCCCTGTCCATATGCATGATAAATAAAACTAGATTGTTCAAATTTATATCCATATCTGTTAAGACTGATATAATACAATTATAGAAGACTGAGTTGTCCCTGAGTTGTCGTAATAGGACACAACCATCTATTGTCACAGTGAAGTAAAATGTTGACCTTCTGGGGGGAAAAGGGACATCACATCATCATCTTCTCTAATTTTGTGAATTTTTGTCATAATTAGCATCTGAATTCTTGGGTCATGGCTAAAAACATCTTTTTGTGTTCAGCCTTCTGGATGACCTTAACCTCTGATTACTTAAATCCAATCAATTCACCCTTGAATCCAAGAGCTGCTGTTTCTGTTTAGGAAATATCACATTCAAGTGAAGTACAGACGGACAGCATGGAATTATAATGCCTCCAGCAATGCTTGGCCCCAGCCTGGATGCATATTGGGGGCATTCTCATAAGGATAACAGCTCCATATGGCTACAACACTTAGCACATACTCTTCCAGCCAAAATTAACTGATCTGCTTTCAAAAATGTCATGATTCTGATTTGTGTTAAGAATACCATGAACATACATTAGACAGGTAAGCAATTAGTTGATCACATTTATATTCAGCACAAAAAAAGCTGAAGAGGACTGGTGAAGAAGAGGAGGAGGAGGATAAGAGCAAGCTGGGAGAGGATTCGTTGCACTAGTCGTTCTTTTCAGAGAGCTGTCATGTAATCAGCGTGCTAGAAAGTGAAAGAGACACTTTGAAGAGTGTGTGTGTGGAGGTGATTGAAAATTGAAGCAGTGTGTATTACTGTATGTTGTGTTACCTGTTGTACAGCAGTCTCTTGAAATCCTGGAACAGAGTGTCTTTGTTCTTATCAATAAAACCCACCACTGAGTACCTGTAGAAATACAGACAGAGGTAAATGCATGTGTGGACACAGTCTACACATTTTATGCACACTGCTCTTCTCCAAAGAGGCTGTAAAACATATCCCCCAGGACTCACAACGCAGGTGCCGCTCACATTGCCAACAACAAAACCAAGCCACAAATGCATAGGTGAATTTTTATTTCTGCATTTTTAAATCCTTGCAGATCTTCCACACACAGATTTCACAGACTTTTGCTTCAGTTAATACAGCAAATTCCAGTCAGTGCAACTGAGTGGCATCAACGCATTTGGTAAAACAACACTACAGCCGGGTCGAGGTAGAGAGTAGCAGTATTTTGGTCTCGACCAGGCCTCCATTCATCGTCTTCAGATGGTCCAAAATGCAGCTGCTCGCCTGCTAACTGGTACCAAATGGAGAGAGCATATAACCCCAGTTTTAGCTTCTCTACATTGGCTTCCTCTCTCCTACAGGATCCAATTTAAACTTTTACTTTTTGTTTTTAAGCCACTTAATGCCTGAGCCGCTTCTTACCTGTCTGAGCTCCTTTCTGTTTATGCTCCAGGAAAAACCATGAGGTCTAGCTCAAAATTAATGCTGTCCATCCCACGGACTTATCTCAAATCTCGTGGCAATAGAGCCTTCTCTGTGGCGGTCCCAGACTGGAATAGTCTTCCCCTAAATATTCTGCACAAACACTTGATCAATTTAAATCACTACTAAAGACACATTTTTAACACACTATGACCCAAACATTTTGGTCTTATTTAATAGTCTTAATTACTGTTTTAATTATTTTATTGTCGTCCTATCATTGTTTTATATTGTTACTATTGTTTTACATTGTTTCTTTTTAATGGCATTTTTATATTGTTAAGCACTTTGTGCAGCATCGTCTGTCTTGAACTTTGCTATATAAATAAATTGGACTGACAGACTGATTGTATGGCATCAGCAGTGATGTGGACACTGTAGTCCTCTGTTGTGCTGAAAAGAGAGCTGACTGCGAAAGCAAAGCTGTCGATTTACCCGTCATTGTACACTTCTACCTATGGCCATGAGCTCTGAGAACTGATATTACTGATATTCCACCACATTGACAGGATCCAGGTGGCGTGGTTTAGGTATCTGACTATGATGCTTCTTGGTTGCTTTCTGGACGAGGGGTTCTGGGTAAGACCTAGGGCAGGGGTGGGCATCTCCAGGCCTCGAGGGCCGGTGTCCCTGCAGGTTTTATATGTGTCCTTGAACCAACACAGCTGATTTAAATGGCTAAATTAGCTCCTCAACATGTCCTGAAGTTCTCCAGAGGCCTGTGTGTTGACCCAAGGTGAGATCTAAAACCTGCAGGACACCGGCCCTTGAGGCCTGGAATTGCCCACCCCTGACCTTGCGTAACCCATGAAATGATGGAGACACTGGTTTGAGAACACCTCAGGGTCCTCCTGGATAAGCTGGAAGAAGTGGCTAAGAAGAGGGAAGGGCTTATGTGCCTGGACTGTTACCCCCATGAGCCAACCAAGATAAGGATGGGTGGATGGATGGATCTGTGAATGTCTGATTTAGACAGCATCAGTTAAACAGGGAGACCACAATGTGGCCTCCAGCTGCAGTCTAAGGTGTGGAAGAGCAGCTTTAACATCAGGTGCAGGGAGTGAATGTCACGTGAATTTCAACTTCAGCATCAGGTGAGAGCAAGTGGGAGCACACCCTGAAGCACAAGTGGAAGGTAAGCTTGTTCTTTTCACCACAGCAGGACTGTAGTGGGGTGTTAATCTGAGAAGAGTGAGCAGGTGGGCTTTTATACACTAATCGTCAATAATAACGGACACTGTAGGATCAGCACACTGACAGCAGCTGGGACACTTTACCTAATCCAGTTATCCCAGTAATCTCTGTCCAGTGTTTTAAAGTGGTCGGTTAAATTTTATTGTTGTTTTTCAAATGATAATAATTTTCATGTGAAAACTGTCAGGCTAATATTCAGATCCACTTTTTTTAGTTAATCAACAAGAAAATAAATGAACCTTTTTTATAATCATTTTAAAAGCTTGTGGGAAGACACACCAACAGGTAGCTGTTAGTGGTGACAGCACTGAGGTTGTAAATGAATACAAATATTTAGAGACAGCGATCAAGGAAAATCTGTCATAGGATTCAAACATAAGTGCCATTTACAAGAAAGGAAACAGCAATTGTATCTCATCTGAAAGCTGCAACAGTTTGATTCAACTTGTATTTATATAGCACTAAATCCCAACAACATTTGCCACAAGGCACGTTATATTCTAAGGTAGTAATAGAAAACTCCAACAATCAGACGACTTTGAGCAGGCTCTTGGCAACAGTGGGAAGGAAAAACTCCCTTTTAAGAGAAAGAAACATCCGGCAATATCAGGCTCAGGGAGGGGGAGCCAAGAGCCGTGACTGGTTGGTGGTGAGGGGAGGAAGACAGGACAAAGACACGCTGTGGAAGAGAGCCAACAATAAACGCATGTCATCTATCAAAGACATCACATGTCTTTGATAGATACACACTGGCTCTTTTCTTCTATTCACATGTGGAATGTACTCGCCTTCTGTTTTGCTTTTTTGCCTGGAATTTTTACTGTCTGTAGTTAATAAGAGCAAATTCAATAAAATTGCACGTCAGCAACAACGCAGTTTGGCATAGTCTTAACTGGTGGGAACGGGCAAAGGTTCAGGGTACCACAATTTCTCATACTCAGAGATCTTTTATACTTTGTCTCACTCTGTCAAACAAAACATAGTTACGCCTTGGTTTTTCGAAATATTATTTTTATTCTTAATTTCTGTAGGGACTTCATTGGTTGTATTTATCTCACATAAAAAGGCAGAAATGGAACTTCTGAAAAGACAAAGATTACTACTACCACTTGCTTCAGGGAGGGCGTTATGTGACTGCATTAAAGAACACATTCTTAGCCATAACTGCATAAAAACTGTGACCGTTTCCTGAATCTAACAAACAGTTAAAATATTTTTTACTTAATTTTGCTCAACCACAGAGCTGCACTGTGACATGAGTCTAATAAACAATAATAAATCATTTTAAGTAAATGCATGCTGTTACTGATGCAGCCACTACAAATATTACTCTGCCTCCTGCCTGGTGTAAGACGATCAGGGACCAATCAAGGCCGTCTGTCGAACCTGCTCCTCTGCCTCAGTCATCCCCCTGGGTGGCAGACACTTAGCCTTCACAAATGGGCTCAACATGCTTCCCTGAGAGCACTTTTTGGGAAGCTTAGCCTGTTTGGTTTATTCTTTTGAATGGCATCCAAGTAAGTACTCTGGGATTTGGGACTGGGAAATGGTGCTGTATTTTTTTGTTTTTTTGTTTTTTTGTGAGACATCATGTAATTAGGATGTCATTTAAATGTTTGAATCTGTCCACCAGTCTTCTTACACAACTGGAATGGGCAGAGTGATTGACTATAATGACAGTTTTCACCAATGACTTGGCACGTCACTGCCTTTCCAATCCAATTCCATGTGGATAAAACTATAAATTGATCACTTTGATTAAGATTAATCTTCATTTCAAAGGATGTCTTTGACGCTTTCAGTATGAATCAGTCAAACGGGGTATTTGGGCACTGAGAGCCAATTCTTCGACATCAGTAGCAGATGGTGTAAATGTTGAGGTGGACTAGATAAAAATATTCGGGGCCTGGTTTAGAGAGAGTTTTACATTTTTTTAAAGCATGACTATTATATCTGGAAAATAGTAAGTGAAAGCAATGTAAATGTGTTTTTAACATTAAGTTAACTGGAGAGACATCCCTACAGGAAGACTACTGTTGAAAAGAAAAAAGAAGATGGGTTATGAAACAACGATTTGGTTAAAATTCAGTTGCAAAGTGTGATTTATTGCCCTGAAAACTATTCAGATT